AATCAGACCTGATGAGGATCAGGTATTAGAATACTGGTAGCAGTAAGGATCTGGTCAGGTAAGGACTTTTATTGTTTTCCAGGCAGCTTCTTTTCTCTGCAAGTTTTGCCCTGTGCATACCATGTGTTCATCTGCTCTATTTTCATAACTGTTCTTACTTTACTATATCATATTTGTTTAATAAACTAATACTTTTTGTTCCCTCTGCCTGCGCCTTCATACCTCATGTCCGGTCATACAGCAGGGCATGCCCTGACTGAAGAGGGAGCTGCGGGGGGGGGGGAAAGGGGGAGCTCTGGGTCCTACCCAGTCAAGCCTTAGAATCACAGTGGTGGCAATAAGTTAAGGTCCTTGTCTGATCAAGAGCTGCAGGGAAGAGGCTGGAGGGAAGGAACTCCCTGCCCAGAGCAAAACTCAACAAAGCCCCACACCTTCCCATGACAATATCATTGACCACTGCTACCTCCTGGAAGTATACCAGTTAAAGGATCTCAGGTAGCAAGGGTTAGGAAAGACCCTGAGAAGCCACTGCCAGTCAAGAGGCAACAATACTGAATTCACGTAAGACAGCTTCATACGTTCATGTGAAAGAAAATAATGGCAAAACAGAAAACCCTCTCATTTCTAGGTGCCTGCGTAAACCAGTGTGCAAAACTCTAGGCCCAAGTGACGTTAGAGTCCACAAAGTTGTGGAGAGCTCACACTCTGGTGGTCCAAGCCTCAGCTCCTGGTTATCTTTAGATTGAATGTCTCCAGCAGCCTAGATCCTGGAGCCACTGTGATAGGGGGTTAGACCACTAATCTGGATGGGAAAAGATTATACACTACACTGTTAAAGCTCAACCCAAAGTAACAGAAACTGAAATTATAGATATCAGCAGATGGAACACACCCATTTGCGCTCAAGGTTTACAGATATTCCCTCAGTGCTCTGGATTATAAAACTGGCCTAATCAACCTCAAACAGTTAATCTTAGAGCAGAACTATGCTTGCTACCCCAAGTTCCTTGAGGAAAAACAGCCAAAATGTTAATTTACTTACTTCATTTATACACCACATTTTCCCCAACAGACACTTCTCTCCTTCATTCTACCTTCACAACAACTCTGTGAGGTAGGTTCGGCTGACTGTGAGTGGCCCAAGATCACCCAGCGAGCTACCATGGTAGAGTGGGAATTCAAACCTAGGTCTCAGAACCCAGTCCTACACTCTAACCAGTATACCATACCGTGACTGATACAGCTCCAACATCCAAAACAACCATCCATTGCCATTTAAAATAGTCACAAGAAATCAGAAAATACGAACAGACTATTGAAAGGCAGCAGAGATATACACAAGGTTAAAATGTGAAGGTAAATTTCTTTATTTCCCAATCCACATTACTTTGCAGCTTTAACTAATTCTGCAAGGATATGAAGCAAGTCTGAGTCAGGAGGGACTGACTCTGAAATCACGGAAACCTACAAAGAAAACTATTTATTTGAGCCAATCCAGATCACCCTTTGGTCAACACACACACTTGTTCCCCTAAAACCTTTGGGAATTTCCAGGGACATAGCTATCACCATTCACATTCCTTCTTGTGGAAAGGAAAACCAAAAAAGAACTCCAGTCATTATCACCAGAGATTATTAAAAGAGTCATTTCTAAAAGCATTGCTAGACTGGAAGACAGGAATCTCCATTTAAAGTTTCTAACACTGTAGATTGAAAGTCAGGCAAAATGCTGGGGTGGGAACTATACAGACAAAAGAACTATACAGTCAAAACCATCCTTTTAAAATGGTCCTTTTGGCTACTCAAAAGTCTTACTAGCAGCAGCATATTTCAACATTTAGTGATAATCTCTCTGCCTCAAGCCCCCTACTTGTGAGAACAGAATAAAGACCATTTTTGCAGGGTGAAATGGTCAACAAAGCTTCAGATACTCAAAAGTGCAACACAAATTGATAACTCTCAGTCTAAGAAATAGCACTGTGCATACCAAAACATGTCCTATGTGTTTCTTGAATTTTGAAAACTAAACTTGGAACTATATATATCATAGTAAAATCTCATGAAGACATTTATTCTAATTTTTATATACCTCCATGAATTCCATACATATATGTGTCTGTACACACTGAGGCAAGGACACACAAAATGAACCACTAAGTTCTAGGCATTTATTCTAATTTTATAAAAGTATATGCTTAATAACGTGTCAATTACCTCAGCACAATCCAGTGCTCAGTATTTTAACACCCCACTGACATTTACTATGCCAGCCTATGCACCTTGACTCAGAAGCAACCTGCCAACATTCACAGTGCTCCCCTTCCCAAGTACGTTTAGAATGGAGACCTTAAGCATATGCAAAAATTCTGCAGTAGCGACGGCTGCTAATTTAGAGGGCTTTATGGAGGTCTATTAGGCACAAAACGACACCTCCATGCTCGGACGGAATGCACCTTGGAATATCATTTGCTGGACTGCAAACAAAAGAGAAAGTAGCCCTCATGCCCTGCAAGTGGGCTTCCTGGGCCGTCTAGCTGCCCTCTAATTACATAGGATTCTAAGTTACACATACCTGATCCAGCAATGCTCTACTTACGTAAGCCTACTCACATGCAAATTCCTCCATATATGGGATAGGTTATTCCTCCGGTACAGGCAAAGGCTTGGACTCTACCATTGTAGAACATACGGGGTGGGAGAGAATTCAGGAAGTTGTCCCCCACCCCAATTCTTGTGTTCTGGGGAAGGGAGCCCCTTTCCCGCCGCCTTCCCCGTCACGTGATCCCCCCGAATCCCGCGACTACACCCCACTCACCGGCAGCCCACGTCCGCCCGCCTCACTACAGACCGGAAGCGCTTGACTACATCCCTCCCCTTTTCCTCCGCCAAGGAAGCACCGCCCACTTTTCCTTCGCCCCGCCTTCCAACCATGAAGGCTCGTAGCGTATGCTGACTCGAAAGGAAACTGATTGGATTTCCCCCCCCCCTTTCCTCAATTCCACTCATTCTTTCTCTCTAGTCACGCCCATCGAAGACTTGGAGGGTGTGGCTAAAGCAGCGGTTGGCGGTTGGGTATGGCGCGCGCCGCCGTTCCCGTCAAATCTGACTCACAAATTCTCAAATGATGTCTCTTAGCCCGGAATAAATTGAATCACCATCCTCTGTTACTTTTTTATATGTGTGGACTTTTAAATAATTTTTTATCTATTCTATTTTGTATTTATTTTTCTGTTACGGCCATGAGAACGAAAGTGAGGCTCATGCCAACCAAAATCCGAATTATATTTTCTGAATTATCCGCATTAGTTAATGTGGTACAGTAAACCAATAAATCAGGTGGAACTATCCCATTGCTTCATCCCAATCCACAAGAAGTTTCTGCTTTTCACCACTGCAAGGCAGGCAGAAACTCAGCCAGTTCAGCTTTGAAGGGCTACCTACACAAAGTTTTGAGTCCAGTGGCACCTTTAAGACCAACAAAATTATATTCACTGTATAAACTTCCCTGTGCAAGCACACTTTCTCAGATACAGGGTTTGCACATGAAAGCTTATACTATGAATAAAACTTTGTTGGTCTTAAAGGTGCCACTGGACTTTGTTCTGCTGCTTCAGACCAACACGACTTACCCACCTGAATCTGGCTACATATAGAGTTTACCTATCAAAAGCCGGCAACCCAACTCTAATGAAAGCCTCTAAACCAAACTGGATTGGGTAACCTGATATAATGCTACTTGCTCAATTATCCTAATCACTTACATTACAATTGAGATTGCTGGTTTCCAATCTTTTTGGTGAGGTGACCACTTGGTATGGTGACCCATTTGAAGGGGGGACACACACATAAACCAATAAAACTACACGTTCACAGGATTTACAGCCCACCTTCAGGGCTGGTGCTACCATTAGGCCAACCAGGCTGCCGCCTAGGACTTGGATTTATACCCCGCCCTTCACTCAGAGTGGTTTACAAAGTCCTTTCCCTTCCCCTCCCCACAACAGACAACCTGTGAGGTAGGGGGGCTGAGAGAGCTCTGAGAGAACTGCCCTTTCAAGGACAGTTCTGACACAACTATGGCTTGCCCAAGGTCATCCAGCAGCTGCAAGTGGAGGAGTGGGGAATCAAACCCGGTTCTCCCAGATTGGAGTCCATGCACTTAACCACTACACCAAAATGGCTCTCTGGGCCCAAATAGACTACTCTGGGACTGGTATTACAGCCCCCAGAGTGGAATGACAGCCCTTGGGGGTAGCAGATGTGTTCTGGGACTGGAATGACAGGCCCCAGAGTGGAATGACAGCCCCTGGGAGTAGCAAAAAGCCTTCTGGGACTGGAATGATAGGCCTCAGAGTGGAATGACAGCCCCTGGGAGTAGCAAAAAGCCTTCTGGGACTGGAATGATAGGCCTCAGAGTGGAATGACAGCCCCTGGGAGTAGCAAAAAGCCTTCTGGGACTGGAATGATAGGCCTCAGAGTGGAATGACAGCCCCTGGGGGTCGGAGATATGTTGTAAGACTGGAATGACAATCCTCAGAGTGTATGCTACCACAAGTACTTTTCAGACTGTAGCAAAAACTCCTGGATAGTGTGCTTAATGTTTCTGTTGCTTTAAGGATCCTTCCAGTGTCAGTAGCAAACACAGTTTCTCTAAGCTCAAACTTATAAAAACGAACATACGCTCAACAATCCTGCAAAAGAGACTACTTGGTTTCAAGAGACGTAAATTTTAACATCACAATTCACAGGATTATTCAAAATGATTTGTGATCTGTGTGCTAAAACTGTTTTCTGTTTGAGAAAGAAAATCAAAGATTGTTGTATTACTTATCCTTACCATTTTTTTAAAAAAATAGCAATTTCAAGTTTCCCTACAATTCATCTGTTTTTGAAAATTGGTTAGCAGTGGGGGGGGGCACAAGTAGTTAGCCTTGCCTAGGGCGCAAAAAGGCCTAGCACCAGCCCTGCCCACCTTCGGGTCAGGAGTGACCTACATGTTGGGAAACATCTAGATTAAGAAACATGGAGTAGCTACAACTCTTTAGTTCTGTGCATTCATGTAGAATGAGTTCAACAACTGCTGTCTCATCACTACTGTTCTCTTTCAGAGACGTTTGAAAAGTGAGAGGTGGCCAACTGGCCATGCATAAAAAGTTGCAACCTTTGATTTTGACACAGAACATCTCTCACCTCTATGAATCCTGGTTCTTTGGAGACTTGTTGCAAGCCAGACTTACAGGACAAACATAACCCCTAGTTTGCCAGTTTGAATATAATGACATGCTGTGGGTGAAAGTGCACAAAGGGAAGGGGAAGAGAAATATGAAGGAAACAATCCATATTTAAATTATTACAGACCCAGAAGAATCTTTCTGAACTGCCCTAAGCATGTAAGATCCTTCCAGGATCAGACTAATAGTCCATCTGGTCCAGTGTCAGTGGAATATTGAAGAAAAACCATTTGCTATTTCTTGCTCCCAGAAATTTGGGGCGCAACATGACACCAGCACCATTTTGAATCTGCATGCCTTCTCAGCCTTAGTTACAGAATGCTGGAATAAAACATGTCTTAAGATAAAGGCCTGAGGCATCTGCTCCCCCACTCCCCGCTTTTATTTCTGTAACACCCAGGCTGATAGAAAGTTCTGGTGAACTCAAAAACTTGCAGATTGTTTTGTGTCATTTTGGTTGGTGCTAATAAAAGGTGATACATGGATTTAATTAGTGACCTACCAGAAACCCCTCAAAAGTCCATAAAGGCACAAAAACCAAACCCTCAGCAACTGGTATTCAGAGGTACAATGCCTGTAAACAGAAGTTCTCTTTAGCCATCATGGCTAACCACCGTTAATGGGCCTAAACCTAACCCATGGATAAACTTAACTCTCTTTTAAAGCCACCTATACTAATGACCATAACTAGATTTTGTGGCATCAAATTCAACAAGTGCATGGTATGAAGAAGTATTAATGGCTTGCTTCCTAAAACTTAATTAATCCTATCAGTAGCAACTTCTAAATTTTATAACTTACTGTGAAAGATGTTGATTTTTGTACCAGTTGCTTCACTATTTCTAACCTGTATTTTCTGAGGATGAGGAAGCCATAAAATAGTCCTGTTAAATAGTGGGTTCCATGGATGAGCAGGCTCGAGTCTAGTGATCAGCTCAACTTTATTTGTGATTCCAGCAAGAAAGACTCCAGAGCCTCAGTTCTGATAAATAGCATGCAATTGCCACACCCAAACACACCCCACTCCCAGTGATAGGCTATTTACATAACATCAGGGCTATTTGGGGGCAGGAACGGAGTTCCAGTTGTCTCCCAAGTTGGCCACGCCCAGCAGGAACTCATTAGCATAATAGGCCTCACCCAACAGCAGAAATTCATTAGGATTGGCTACATTAGGGGTGTGTGGCCTAACATGCAAAGGAGTTCCTGCTACAAAAAAAGCCCTGGGTTTTGACAACAAACAAGGTAAACAGAATAACAAGCAAAAGGTGGGTGTGGCTGGATAACCACACTTCTGGTAACATGGGGGTGCGTCCTAATGTGCTAATGAGCTGTGCTGGCAGGGGCCCATGAGTTCCTGCTGGGCTTTTTCTACAAAAAGAGCCCTGCATGATAACATTACTACTCAATTGGTTACTTTCAGAATCCTGGTAGGCTATTGTTCTTGTGCTCCAAGCTCAGCCATTCTCTGGGGTGATTTAATCATATAACAAGTCCCTTTTCAGCAGGCAATGAAATCTTATCTTACTGGATACAACCTCCAATAATAACAGATAATAAATCTTGTGCACAGAAACCTCCAGCATCTTCTAAAACATCTGTAAGCAAGAACAGAAACTTCTGGCTTTAATTAAATCAGGAAGCCAGCAGCCTTAAATACCGAACATAATAAGAAAATATGGCAAAGGGATATCATTAGATTCACCTCCACACACACAAGCACTATTGTCCCAAGGCAACCTGTGCATGAAAAGGGAAAAATTCAAATGTGAGGGGCATGAGAACTGGCACAAACAGGTATCAGAGCCACGCTTCAGTGAACCCCAGTTTCCATTTACAATAGCATCCATATTCTCTCATTTGCCTGATTAACACAACCTGTTAAACGTGAAAATTAGATGAAACTATTACATCTAGATTAGACTACTACAATGCACTCTATGGGGCTGTCCTTGAAGACTGTATGGAAGCTACAGCAGGTAAAAAATGCTGCAACCAGAATGTTGACTGGAGTAGGTTGTAGGGACCATTATCACTACACTGGCTTCCAACTTGCTTTTGGGCTCAATTCAAGGCACTGGTATTGAAATTTAAAGCCCTGTATGGCCTGAGGCCAACATACCTAAAGGACCATCTTCTCCACATGAACCTACCCACTCACTCCAATCAGCCTTGGAGACCCTGCTTCAGTTGTCCCCATCATCTGAAACTAGACAGGTGGCAACCCAAGAAAGGTTTTTTCTGTTGTGGCATCAAAACTTTGGAACTCCCTACCCAGAGAGATTCATTTATTTCCATCTATCAGTGTCTTCTGCCAGCAGATGAAGACTTTTGTTTCATCTGGCATATCCTCAATAAGAGTTCTTGACTCTCCTTCTAGTGTTGTTTATGTTTCAATTGAATTTTATAATTTTAACTGCATTTTTAATTGTTTAAATGTTTTAATGTTTCTTATGCTCACCACTTTGCAGACCATGATTGGGGTGGAAAGGCGGCA